GGAGCAATGCACTCATTACAGGGCACCTCTTCGACCTCCTCAGGCACAACAGGCAGCTCAAAGACCACAGACAGGGCTCTGATAGACAGGACATGTGCTTCTGAGCACTGTTTGCACACTAGACAGGAGGGGTGAAAGTCTACAATGTGTCTGAAAGCAGAAGCTCCCAAGCACACACTCCTCTGGTCCAAAGTGAGCAGTCCTGAGCTTTGCAGCTGCTGCACGGTGCCCAAATCCTAAAAACAGCAGCAATTCACTGCCCTCTATGTGACCATGGGACCCTCCAGAAGCAGGACAAGACTCAAAGGGACTTGCTCACCAAGATCTTAAACCCCTGAGGCCAGAGATTGCTATCAGGCCTATAAAACAGAAAGCCAGCACCCTGAATGCATGTGAAGCCGCGGTGACAGTATCTACAGCTGAGATACTAGACAGAAATGTCCAGCACCCTGGTCTTCTTGGCTGCACACAATCACCACCTGAATACTCCTTGCCTTCTCCAGGCATGAGGCACCTCTAGCATGTTGCTAATGAACAGATAAATATGATTTATCAAGTTATGGTAATGGATAAGCATGAAAATGGGGGGAAAAGTGAACTCGGGCTCTGGTCCTGTTCCCAAGGAGCAGCTGCTTTCTCCTCCCACCTCAAACCACAAACTCAGCCTGGTAGCCTCCCTGCTTCCTTGGCTTTGGGTTTGCATCTTCACCCACCCTGCTATAACCAAGTGTGGAAAGAGACACACAGCGGCCCCCGAAATGTTTGACGGGCACCACGCGAGCCGGTGCGAGCCAGAGCCGCGGGCGCGGCACGGAGGGCACCGACACCTTCTGCCCCTTGGCACCCGTGGCCTTTAGGAGCCCCAGGAGGGAAGGAGGAGAGCGGGGCCAAGCGCTGAGCTTCTCCGCGCAGGCGCCGTGGGGGTTCGTACCATTGAGCAGGGTGCCAAAATGGATCACTTGCAAGTACTCTGCCTCGCGCATGAAGCCGGTCAGCGGAGTGGCCCAGCCTTCGCTCAGCACCTGCACCCACTGCAGATCCAGCTGCAAAACAAACCCAGAGGGCACGCCTGTCACCAGGGCACACTCGCAGCCGCCCAGTCCTGCTCGATGTCTGCATCACTGATCCGGACAAAGGGATCGAGGGCGCCCCTCAGTAGGTTTGCAGATGACACCAAGCTGAGTAGGAGTGTTGATCTGCTGGAGGGTAGGAAGGCTCTGCAGAGGGATCTGGACAGGCTGGAGCAATGGGCTGAGGTCAGCTGTATGAGGTTTAACAAGGACAAGTGCTGGGTCCTGCACTTGGGTCAAAACAACACCAGGCAACGCTCCAGGCTTGGGGAGGAGTGGCTGGAAAGCTGCCTGGCAGGAAAGGACCAGGGGGTGCTGCTGGTGGACAGCCAGCCTGGATCAGAACTAGGGGGTCCAGCAGGAGCAGGACCTGCTGACTGTGTCCCTGCACTTGGCACAGCTTAAGTCCTGAGTTTGATTTTGGGCACCACAGTATAAGAAAAGACATTGAGGGGCTAGAGCAGGTCCAGAGAAGGGCAACAAAGCTGTCGAAGGGTCTGGGGAACAAGTCTTATGAGGAGTGGCTGAGGGACTAGGGATTGTTTGGCCTGGAGGAGGCTGAGGGGAGACCTTCTTGTTCTTTCCAACTCCATGAAAGGAGGTTGAAGTGAGGTGGGTGTTGGTCTGTTCTCCCAAGGAATTAGCAATAGGATGAGAGGCAACAGGCTTGAGTTGCACCAGGGAAGGTTTACATTGGATATTAGGAAGAATTTCTTTCCTGCAAGAGTGGGGAGACATTGGACCAGGCTGCCCAGGGAGGTGGTGGAGTCCCCATCCCTGGAAGGGTTCAAAAAAATGTGCAGACGTGGTACTTTGGGACATGCTTTAGTGGTCCTGGTAGTGTTGGGTTGATGGTTGGACTTGATGGTCTTGGAGGTCTTTTCCAACCTTAATGATTCTATGATTCTCCTTCCCTTCTGCTGCAACATTTTGTTTTGCTTCAAATATAGGACATTCATCACAGGGAGGAAAGCCGGGTGGGGGGAGGTGGTTTGGGTTTTTTAAAAAGCCAGACTCACATACTTTCACAGTACAACAGCTTGTGGGGCTGTAGTAACGCGATGAAGGAGATGGACGGCCCTGGCTTGCTACAGCACAGGGTGGAGACACAGGGCAGAAAGCAGCAGGGGATCAGGACCACGCTTCAGCTAGCCATAAACCACAGCCACAGAAGGACACGGCCACCAGTGGAACAGAGCCCCTTCCAGCACCATCCCCACCAAAGCTTCCACCCTCCCAGCAGCTCCGCCAGAAGGGAGCCGCGGCAGAGCGTCGGCACGGGACGGTACCTTGGTGATCTCTACGGACGGCAGCATCTCCGCTTCCGCCCGGACACTGCTGAGTTTATTTTCAGGTACAAAGAGCTCGATAACATCCTTAATCGAGCCGTGGGGCACGATGTTCTAGAAGAGAGAGACAGACAGCAGTTGTAGGATGGTGGGTTTTTAAGCGCACTCCAAAAACCCAGTACCCAAGAGCAGGTTTAGAAGCTGCCAGTGGTTCTGGCCTAAAAATGACCTACTTGTGCCTGGAGGAGCTCCACCACCTGCTGAATGCATTCAGACACAGACGCAACGTTCGTTTTCAACACCAGTTCAGGAGATTCAGGCTTCTCATACTCGGAGTCAATCCCCGTGAACCCTACGGACAGTTAAACCCAAACTGAACTTGTCTATTGCAGTACTCGGTGCCCCAGAGCCAGCAAAGCCGTACAACCAAGCAGGGAGCTTCCAGCCAGACTGGGGACTGCAAGTGACACTTCTGACAGCCCAATCAGGGAAACACTGTGCTCCTGTGCACTACAAAGAACCCACCTCCACAGGCTGCAACGACACGCTACTCAATGCTTTGGAAAGCAAAAGGCAAAAGAAGGTATGCTCCTACATACCTTTGATCTCTCCAGCTCTTGCCTTTTTGTACAGCCCCTTCACGTCTCTGCTCTCACAAATATTGAGAGGAGCATCTACAAAAATTTCAAAGAAAGGAAGTCCAGCTGCCTCATGAATTTTCCGTGCATTTTGACGATCCTGTTAGAAAAAGAGACAGGAAAATCACAAATGTTGAATTGCAGAAAGCATCTTCCTACTCCATGATGTGTCCTGGAATTCACAGAAGCATAGAATCATTTTGGTTGAAAGAGACCTTGAAGATCCCCAAGTCCAGCTATTAATGCAGCACTGCCAGGTCATCAATAAACCATGTCCCTCAGCACCACATCTCCATAGCTTTGAAACCTCTTCAGGGACAGGGACTCCAACACTGCCCTGGGCAGCCTGGCACAGGCCTGGACAACCCTTACAGGGAAGACATTTTTCCTCAGGTCCAACCTAAACCTCCCCTGGCACAACTTGAGGCCATTTCTTCTCCTATCACTTGTGTTTGGGAGAAGAGCCTGACCCCCACCTGGCTCCAGCCTCCTCTCAGGGAGCTTTTGAGAGCGAGAAGGTCTCCCCTGAGCCTCCTTTTCTCCAGGCTCAACACCCCTAGATCTCTCAGCTGCTTTTCTTCTTCACAAGACTTGTGCTCTAGAACAAGTAGTTTGTTTCTGGTATAGATTTATTAAGTTTACACTAATTCTAATATTTTTTTTTTCGTCTCCCTTCCCCTCTTTTCTTTACTGATACTTTAGAAAAACCAAACAACTAAAATCCACAATTTTGATCCATTTTCAGCTTTTTCCATCCAAACTACCACAATCTCTTCATTAAGCAGGACACCAGAACTTTAACGTGAATAATTATCTGCCCTGTGTCAAAGGAACTCCTTGCATCAGTTTTGTAACAGCAGCTACTTGGTAGTCTCAGGAAGCATAAAAACACAACCAACACTCCTTGAAACAGAGCAGTGACAGGCTGTTGTTTCTGTGCCTCTTCTGCTCCTAATGAGTTTATCATAGGAGGATATCTCTCTGTAAGGAGATTTTCATCTTCTCTTAGCTTTTAATCAATTAGTAATATTGACTCTAGTCATCGAGGTCACATCCAACTGCCCTCCAGAGGTCTGTGCTGTTTGCCTGTGGTTCCATTTACAAAGGACAGAGACCAAGTTAAACTCGATGACCTCTGGAGGTCCCTTCCAACCCCTAACTTTCTGTGAAAAGGAGCACCTGCTGGCACTTGCAGGACGTCCTTCTGCATAAATCTCTCTTCCCTAGGACCAGCCACGAGACCAGAGCTTCCCTGAGGAGGGCAGGAGAGGAGGCGTGGGGTTTACCTTTGCGAAAGGAGAGATGAAGCTCGTTATGCAGACGAGGCCGGCGTCGGCAAACAGCCGGGCCACCTCCGCGATGCGCCGGATGTTCTCCTCGCGGTCCCCGGCCGAGAAGCCCAGGTTCTTATTCAAGCCGTGTCGAACGTTGTCACCATCCAGGGAGTAGCAAGGGATGCCATGAGAGACCAAGTACTCTTCCAGAGCGAAGCCAATGGTTGTCTTGCCAGCTCCGGAAAGGCCTGTTGGAGACAGAAAAGCGAGGCTCTGCTTTGAGTTCAAAAGAGTGAAAATGAAAGTGTAATGTAACACCTCCTGGGATGCTGGCAGTGGAGCACAGTGGGATAAACAGGTACCAGTGAGCAGAGGAAGCTTGAAAGGTAGATTGAAAGGTAGATGTTGCCTGTAAGTCTCTCAACATCTTCCTTTTCCTCCTCTTTTTCCCTCTAGGAACAGCAACTGCTCTCCCAGGCTGAAGCCAAGGAGAGGTTCTTGCTGCAGCTGTGTAGGGTAGGACAGGCTCCAGCAACAGCAACTCCCCCTCTGCATCCACAGACACCTCCTTCTGCAAGAGCAGCAGCCACAGCTCCATGCGACCAGGAGCAGGATGTTTGTGTAGACAAGCAGCACTCCTTTCGCTGCCCGTGTCTCCTGGCGTCATCAGCTAGAATGACAACATTCCAAAATGAGGTGGCTGCTTCCCACCTCAGCTCCATCCACTTGCACTAAGAGCACTTGCTACTGGCTTTGTCAGAAAGCAGCAAGTGCACCTGGAGCACCAATCTCCTCTTTTCCCTCAGGTGGGGATCCATGAGCTGACAACTCCTTGAGATGGAGAGGACCTGGACTTAGGAGAGAGAACGCTTCCAAATTTGGCACCTGTCCCAGGAAACACCTAGCCTTGGTGAATCTCCTCCAGAGGCAGCATCATCTGCTTTCCTGTTTTTAGACCCTTTGCATGACACCTACTGCTGACCACTCATGGAGGCAAGACCCTGGGCAAGGGGGACTTTTGGTCTGACGCAGAACAGCCACGTTTGTGCTGGAGAGGAAACCTGGCTGGGCAGGGACAAATCCTGCTGGCTGTTCCTTTGGGTTCTGGAGCACTGCAGACTAGAGAGAGCTCTCCAGAGCTGGCAGTGTAGGGCATTCAAATGCCCTTGCATTTAATCCATATAGTCCATGCAATGAAACATCCTTCCACGTAATCTCTTAAAATGAAATTGATAGAAAGGTAGGAGACCACTGCCCGTTTCAAAGAATAGTCATCTGACAGAGAAGCTCACACCTTTCAGATGCAAGATTTCTGAGTGATATTCAAAAAAGAAGAAAATTGCCTTGGGTAGGATTTTTGGCTTCACAAACGACATGGAAGCAGAGAAGGTGTTTGCCTCCTTTTCGAAGTTAGAGGAGAACAGAACAGAAATGTGTTTTAATCCAACATTTAGCACAGAAGTTGGTATGAAAGCAAATCAGAACAGCTTTACAGACTCTTCCAAGTACATCTTTCAACATCTTCTGGCAGTCAAAGAATATACCAATATTTAACAAGCAAAGAAACAAGCAGACAAGCAGCAAAAGATAGAGTTGTGTAAATATTAGGGGAGTAGAATAAACACAATTGTCATTTCTAGCAGCCCCTAATCCTCAAACAATGAGTTTATCTTTCCAAGCAGAAGAGAAGGGCGACGCGCTGGAAGGTGTAGGAAATGAGAACCAATGTCAGCTCGCTGTCTGGGAGGATTTATTCCTCAGACAAAACGACTGCCTTGTCGTGCTGCTCGTGAGGTCCCTTTAAACCCAGTAAAAGCAGGTGTCCCAAGAAACTTCCCAGCGGCACAGAACGAAAACATCCGCACGCTGCCTGGGACAACCCCGGGCACAATTCCCTGCCAAGGACCGGCTGGGTGTGAGCCAAGGCTTCCTCAGCCACACGCTTGGGAACAACACGAGCAACCTTTAGGGCTTCTCACGTGTTCAGAGGAGCCCGACAGCAGCTGCGAAATTCATAAAAACATTAGTTAGGGGCAGCAGCTGCCAGGGAGAACATCTTGCCGCGCCGGCGCCGCGCGTCGGTGCTTCCCACGTGCCGGCGTTCCGCAATCCCCACATCACAGGGAGCGCCGACGTCTCCTGCAGATCCCCAGTCCCCGCCTGGCAGCCACGCTCCTGCTGCACGCAGGTGGGTGACACACGTGCCACGGCGCTCCCACGCCCAGACAGAAATAAATACCTGTTAGCCAAACAGTGCAGCCTCGAAATCCACCCCTGGTACCGACGACTTGTCCTCTCTTGCTCCTGCTGACGTGATGGGCTTGGTAAACCACATTGGTCGATCCCTGATGGAAACAAAGCAAAGGAAAACAATTCGGTTACCTTGCTGCTCTCCATGCAAATCTCAGCTGGGACTAATATACAGAAGAGAAACATAAATTCATTAAAAATCTGATCAGCAGGAGCCGTTGCAGTGAAGTTTGGCAGTCTGGAGCTCTGGTCTAAGTCGGGTTTCTGAAGGGCACAGACATATTTTTTGGAGACGGTATTTGGACTATTTTGGAGATCCTGCTCGCAGAGCTTCTGGTGGCAATGCCTTGGTGTTTGCTGCTGCTGGCAGCCACAGAAGGTGACCTGCTGTGCTGCAAGAGTGCTGCCAGGTGATGGACACAGCCGCAGGCAGGCAGGGCAAGACCCGTGTCCACACAGAGACCCAGGCAGCACTGTCCCTGCCTCTTCAGCCCTTTAAAATACAGGCAGACTTGCCTAGTATTTTAATTACACTTGCAAAACAAAAGCCACTTAAGGTGCTAATTTACTTGCCATGTTTAACATAACACTGCTGCTACTAATTGCAGCCAGTAGGATGAGGACAGGGATTATCCCTCTGGACTTGGCACTGAGGAGGCTGCACCTCAAATCCTGGGTTCAGTTTTGGGCCCCTCACTCCGGGAAGGACATTGAGGGGCTGGAGCAGGTCCAGAGAAGTGCAACAAAGCTTGGTCTAGAGGGGAAGGGACTAGAGCCCATGTCTGGTGAGGAGCAGCTGACAGACCTGGGGGTGTTGAGCCTGGAGAAAAGGAGGCTCAGGGGAGACCTTCTCGCTCTCAAAAGCTCCCTGAGAGGAGGCTGGAGCCAGGTGGGGGTCAGGCTCTTCTCCCAAACACAAGTGATAGGAGAAGAAGAAATGGCCTCAAGTTGTGCCAGGGGAGGTTTAGGTTGGACCTGAGGAAAAATGTCTTCCCTGTAAGGGTTGTCCAGGCCTGGCCCAGGCTGCCCAGGGCAGTGGTGGATTCCCCATCCCTGGAGGGGGTTCAAAGCTATGGAGATGTGTTGCTGAGGGCCATGGTTTAGGTGTGCCCTGGCAGTGCTGGGTTAATAGTTGGACTTGATGATCTTAAATGTCTCTTCTAACCAAAATGATTCTATGATTCTAAAAATCGTCGACACAGCAGAGCTGAATTTAGCAGAATGAGACTGGACCAGCCAGGAAAGACCATAGGATAGGTGATGCAGAAACCAACACCTAACGTGGATGTGTTCCCTTCCCAGTGCAGATGAGGGACCTGCATGATGCTGAGTCAGAAGCCTGGATTTTGGTGCTTCCTGACATCAACCTGCTGCGGGCAGAGCAGCCCCAGCCTCTCTGCTGGGCCGCAGACTGACCAGCCTGCCGCGCCAAAGGCTTTTTGCACATAAAAGACCTACAAGGCTTTATTAATTGTGAGGATTATGTTTCCAAATGAAATGCAGCAGCCAAAGGAGAAGTCTCCAGAGGGTGAGAGGGTATAAACATAAACAATTTCTCCCCAGCTGGACTCTCCACAGCTGCCGGTTTATGTGTTTCGTACCATCACACCAGTGTGGTCTGGGCTTTCCCACTATGTACATCTCACTACAAAATATTTCTACACTTGAAGTCCCAACAGGGAAGTGATCATCTTCCATACATCCAAGAAACAAAATTCTGACAAGCAAAAAGAACCAGAGGAACAAGAAAGACAATAAGGTAAAAAGTAATTTTTAAGCATATTAGCAAAACATCCTGGTTTTATTTTTTCCCTCTGCTTGCTGGGCCATTAACACTTCAACATCATTCAGCAAAGGCAGACGCATTCATTGGGGACTTGGTATTTTGTAGGCAGTAAAGGGCTGTGCCTGCACGGAAACACAGGTGACAGTTCTTCTGTACCAGAAGAGAAGGAATCCCCTCCTCTCTTCACCTGTTTTTATTATCTTTCAAAGGCCAGCATCCCAGCAGAGACCCATCTCCCAGCGATGTGTAGCTATACTCAGAATTCCATACCCATTTCCAATTCAGTTTTAAAGAAAGGCTCCAAAATTAGCCTCTTTATACCTGCAAATTTGCCACCTGCCATTGCTTGCGGGCACAGGGAACAGCTACCCCATTTCAGAACATTTTAACTTACTGGTAAGAAAAGCTGTGTCCAAAACAATCATAATAATGGTCATAGATCTTGCCTCCAACGTTAACTCTCAGCAAGCCTCAGTGTTGGTGCCACGATTGTGAGATTGCACTGGAAAAAGGTCTGGGAAGGAGAAACAATTGCTCCAGAGCTGTCCCAAGACGACCAGTTCCCAGCCTGTGCCACCACCACATGACTTGATGGGAAGTTCTGAGCTAAGACGGTTTTCAGAGATGTTGCCTAAACCACCTTCAGCAACGCATCTTCTTGCTCCAGGACTCTCACTTCCCATTTTCATTGCCACAGCCACCAGAGCAGGTCCCTGTCATCACTTCCCCCTTCCGCAGTCATTGCAAAGGATAAAATCAATTATTTGGGGGTTGGTGTGTAGCAGTCAGACAAGATGCTACTTGAAACACAGAGCCTGGATACTACAACAAAACCCCAAAACCCCTCCAGACCTGACCCTGGAACAGTGAGTGAGCCCAACACATAGCGGTTACTCAAAAAATAAAAGATGTTGCTCAAGATTTGGGGTTTGGGTTTTGTTCTGCTTTGTTTTTGGTTTTGGTTTGGTTTCTTTTCTTTTTTTTCAGAGGACGAGCAAAAGCCTCTTTGATATTTTGAGCTTGCAAAGGTGAGACAGCACCACTGTGGTTTGATTTTCACCTGTCCCCGGGGGTTCAGGTTTCAGCAGCAAGACTAAATGAGCGCACACAGAAGATCCAGATGACAAAACTAATCCCTTCTCCCAAGCCACACAGGCATATTCCTGCTACGATTACTCCTGGCTGAGCTCTGGCACTGCTCTGAAATTGCGTGTCCCCTGGCCAAGGACCCTCAGCAAAGCCCAAATGCCCAAAGTCACTTTCCCAACAGCTTGCCACCAGTCAGCCCTGCCGCAGAGCAACGCTCAAGTGTAGCACTCCATAAATGATAGAGCGGCTATTTGGCAGTGTTTGCAGACCACAACAGGAAGGGCTGATACTGATACTGCTGTGTAGAGAAATGAACCTGCACGCTTCCAACCTCTCCTTCATGCCCCCTGCATCAGTAGGAACTGCAGGCGCACGCTCGCCTTTGCAAAACGTTGATCTGCTGGATCTGCCCTGCAGGAGATGGAGAACGATAACTGAGGGACGTGCAGGAACTGACACATCCCTGTGGGGCTGACGTAACGAGATGGTTATGGTAACAGCACACGCGGCCCGCCCGGAACTCTGCACCGCACGCATCGCACAGCTTTTAGTTTGCACGCTGGCACCTTTTTGAGCATCACTGAGGGCTTTCTTCCAGTCCAGCAGCACTGTCAGACCTCTCCTACCTGCTGGGAGCTCTGGACAGTACCAAATCTCTCTGATTTTGCTGCTGTTAATAATCTTGCTGGTAAACTTCCTAACCCTGAGCAACCGCCTGCCACACACGGACTCAAATTCCTGTCACTAGCTATGCTGGAAGTAAAAAAAGAGAGAGAAATGTGAGCACGGGGCAGATGGCTGGGCTGGCAGCTCACTTGGCCAGGAACAGGCTGGTCAACTTTCCACCTCATCATCCACCAGCCAGGACACAGCTTGGGAAGCCAGAGCTCAAGCACCGTCAAACAGAATGAAGGCATCGCCAAAAATAAGCATCAATAGCCTGAGAGCAAAGCCTGGAGAGATTTCATCTAGGAGCAGAGGCTGCAAGGCCGTTGGGAGGCAGAGATAAGCGGTGGATGGGGTTTAATCAGATGCAGGACTGTCCTACTGATACTATTCTCACGTTCTAACCTCATCATCATAAACCAAAGGTACTTAAAAGAGACAGTCCAAGTATCACCACAACACACTCACACCCGAATGCTGGGCCCTGCCGCTGGGACAACTTAGGGACAGCGGTAAGCATTTCTTGAAATAATCTAGATCAAAGAAGTGGGGTTTGAGAGAGAACTTCTTAGCTATAATTCACCTCCAAAACAATTCACCCCCAAAACAAGGCTCTAAGCAAGGCAATAAATGACCTGGCAGCATCTCCAAAGAACAGCTGTGCAGCCTCTGCCAGCCAGATGGTTAAGGTCACTGCCACGCTCTCTCCTTAGAAATCTGCTGTATGGCCACATCTGCATGATCTCAGTCCTCAGCCCACCCTGTCTTACCTCATCCAGGAAATGAGGAAAAAAATAACTACATGGCTCCAAATCTTGTACTGAGCCTGCAGAGGACCAAGAAGCCAAATCCTAAGGTTGCTTTTGGCCTTCCCTCCTGTTGAACCTTTCCATGAGTCTGACAAATATGGAGACACCAAAATCTCAGGTGTCTTCAAGATCAGGCTTGACTGAGCTACCTGCCAAGTGTCTCCTGGCCCAGCTTCCAAAAGAAACAAATTTTTTCAGCCACTGCTCTGGTGGGACAAGATGTTCCCCTGCTTTGTGAAAGCATTCTGCAGGAAGAGGCACGAGGCTCTTCCTTAGTGTTCCTCCCGAATAAATAGATGGGACCTGTGAGACGAGAGAGTCCACCATAGCACAGACCTGTTGGAAATCAGGAAACATTGGGGTCCTCTTCTCTAAGAGCTACTGTGGCCCAGTTCATGGAGTCTGAAAAAGTAAGCTCAGCTCTTCCTTAAGTATCTGGCCCTGCAAAGGTGCAGCTGTGCTTGCCCACATAAAGTGAGTGCTGCCAAGAGAGGTGTTATCACAGGGGGCACCTTCTGCTCTCACCTGAGAGCTAAATGCACCACATCTGAGGGACCCGTCCCAGCCACCAGCGACATTGGTTAGGGGCAGAACCACTGTCCAACTAATAGAAAATGTGCTTGGCAAATAACATTTAGGATTGTCCTAACAAATGGAAAGGATGATTTGGTGTCTTGCACTAGAAATTCAGGTATGTATAAACTCTGGTCCTTAGGACACTAGGCAGCATCTCCTCCTGCCTCCA